ACCACCTTGAGACCTCACCACACATTCGCTTGTGATAGTTGTGGGACCTCTCTGTGTGAGGACTTGACCTCTGAACATCTACAAACATGCCCCCGTGGTGAGTGAATAAACCCTTCACCTTTATTTCTCTTAAGAAGCTTTTTGAGAACTTATGTCATGGGGTTTAGCGAGGGGGGCGTGGGTGTTGCCTTTTATTATTATTATTATTATTATTATTATTATTATTATTATTATTATTATTATTATTATTATTATTATTATTATTATTATTATTTTCCAGGGGTGATTCAGAGGCAGGTAAAAACATCACAGGGTCAGGTAGGAGAGGAACATGACAAAGCACAGCGTGACAATAACCCCTTAGGTGGTGGTGGGGTTAGACAGTCCAATGCAAATGGAGGGGAGGGGGGAGAGGAAGTGATGAGTGATGATGATGATGATGACGATGATGGTGGTGGTGATAGTGGTGACATCTCTCAGGCAGGTCCTAGTGGTCTTAGACCTCATGTCAACAATCGAGATAATGTCCTAATTAGTGATGAAAATTCCCCAGATGAGGAGGATGTTATAGACACTCCCCACTTAATTAATAGGGTGGGGGCCCTGGGGGATCTCTTTACTAGGATGGAATATTCCATCCCCTCAGCCTTCGCCACAGACCCTATAGGACTCCTAAGCAACTTTAGGGACTATTACATATCTGAAATAGAGAATTACATGAATTCTCTTGGGGGACATGGCAATTTTACTTCATCATTAAAAATCCTTCTCGAAGTGAAAGTAACACTTTTAAAACAACGACTCACAGAAGATGATGACTTTAGGGAACACTTCATAACGACACCTGCTAGACTGGTAACTCTTGAGGAGGTGGGTAATCTTATTGATAGCTGGGTGGGTTATATGATTACACGACTGGAGGATCTCCTTTCAGAAACAGAGGGGAGTGGTTTCATACTATATAATGTAAATTTCCTCAAAATCGTCATCTTTAATGCTAGTGTAAGGTCAGTTTTGGGGGATTATGTCCCTTATTCCCCCATTCTAAGGGAACGATATGAGGTCTTCAACCCAAACCCTGCTGGTAACAATAGAACATTCATTATTCAATGCATTGCTGCTTTTCTGGCATCACAACAAGGGTGGAAGTGGAGACGTATAGGGAGACTTGTAGAGTCTCACTCTAGGGTTAGGAAAATGGTCAAATACGACCATTTATCCTTCCCTCTCTCGTGGGAGGATATCTCTAAATTGGAAAATAGAAATAAACTATCCATTTTTTGTATTCAATACACAAACATACAGACGGTGTCTATCACGTCTCTATTTGCCGTCGTGGTAGCAGACAGTACTCGGTCATAGTACCTTTATTGTTATTGGGAGAATCTCATGTGGCCCTTAAGGAGTTTGACAAGTTCCTACAGAACTTTACTCGCAGCCACAGACGAAAGAGTCTTCTGTAGAAACTGTCTTTCAGAATATCAAAATTCAACAGAACTAACAAATCACATATCTTCCTGAGACATCACACAGAAAATTATTTATCCTCAGGAGGTGGACACACTTCATTTTAAAAATACGGGGAAAGGTTACCCCCCTTCCCATGTGGGGTATTTTGATTTTGAGTGCTACCTAAGCACTGAGGATTGTCTAGGTTCTGTTAAGCCATACATAGGCCTATAGCATACAGCTATATAATTGTTGATAGGAACCACACTGTCATTGATAAATTTACTTATTTTGGGGGGGACAGTGTCACACATTTCATGCAGCGAGTTGCTACCAAATGGGAAATTATCAGATCCACACTCCCCCATTATGAAATAGACATGTCTCTTGAGGATATGGTTCATTTTAGGAGACAGACTCACTGTCAGTTTTGTGACACCCTCACCAATTTAAAGGTTCAACATCATGACCACCTTAGGGAAAAGCTCAATTATATTGGAGCTCTATGTAATTATTGCAACCTCCGCCACAAGAATGCTCTAGAGAGTTTAGTCCTAATTGCTCACAATATGTCTTATGACATGGGCTTAATTTTGAGGGAGTTTGCCATGGGTTCAAATATTAAGAGCAATATCCTCATGAGACAGGGGACTAAATATGTTAAGGTAGAAATAGGCAACCTTAAATTTCTTGATTCACTGGCTTTTATTACGGGCAGTCTTTCGTCCCTAGCAAAGACCCACATTGATTCAGGCAGCCCCTTAACATTCACTCACTCAATGATAGAAGGTTTGCCCGAAGAGAGTCACCACCTACTCTTAAAGGGTAAGCAGTTTTTCCATTATGAATATACCACAAAAATCAGCTGCTTTAATGACACAACACTCCCTCCTATTGAAATGTTTTACAGCTCCCTAAACAAATCAGGTATAACTTTGGAAGAATATAAACATTCTAAATTAGTATGGGAGGCGACAGGATGTAGGTCATTAAAGGACTATCTCCTTATTTATTTGAAGTGAGACGTTGGTTTACTGGCTGACATTTTTGCTCACCATAGGATAATTCTGAATGATATCTATGTGCCTGAGTGCCTGTGCCGGTAGCACAGGCACTCAGTATAGTGTGGAGGAAGAGCTTGGACACGGGGGAGATACCAGATGCACTTAAAGTAGCAGACATAGCCCCTCTACACAAGGGAGGGAGCAAAGCATTGGCAAAGAATTATAAACCAGTTGCACTAACATCGCACATCATAAAAGTATTTGAGAGAGTGATTAGGAGTCAGGTCAAAAATTTCATGGAGACCAATGACCTTCACAACCCAGGCCAACATGGATTTCGAGCAGGAAGATCGTGCCTCTCACAGCTACTTGAGCACTGCGACAAAGTCACTGAGGCATTAGAAGAAAAACAGAATGCTGATGTGATATACACGGACTTCGCAAAGGCTTTCGATAAATGTGACCATGGCGTGATAGCACACAAAATGAAGTCAATGGGAATAACCGGTAAAGTAGGACGCTGGATACTCAGTTTTCTGTCAAACAGGACTCAGCAAGTAACGGTCAACCATATAAAATCTAGTCCAAGTGCAGTTAAAAGCTCTGTACCTCAGGGTACAGTCCTTGCACCGCTGCTTTTCCTTATTCTAATATCAGATATAGACAAGTCACAGCTTCGTATCATCCTTTGCAGATGACACAAAAATCAGTATGAAAATTATCTCGGCTCAAGACACTGAAAAACTTCAAGCTGATATTAATAAAGTTTTCGACTGGGCATCAGAAAATAACATGATGTTTAACAGTGATAAATTCCAGGTACTCAGGTACGGTAAAAATGAGGACCTTAAACATAATACAGAGTACAGAACACAATCAAATGTATCCATAGTAGGAAAACAGCATGGAAAGGATTTGGGAATAATAATGTCTGACGACCTAACGTTTAAGGAGTATAACCAAGCAAATATTGCGACAGCCAGAAAAATTATAGGATGGATTACGAGAACTTTCAATTCCAGGGATCCCATCACAATGGTTGTACTCTTCAAGTCACTTGTGTTGTCCCGTCTTGAGTACTGCTTAGTACTCACTTCCCCCCTTCAGAGCAGGAGAGATTGCTGAAATAGAGGGAATACAGAGAACATATACGGCATGCATAGACGCAATAAAGCACCTAAATTATTGGGATCGTCTCAAAGCCCTCCAAATGTACTCACTAGAAAGAAGACGAGAGAGATATCAAATAATATACACCTGGAAGATACTGGAGGGCCAAGTACCAAATCTACACAGTAAAATAACAACGTACTGGAGTGAACGATATGGAAGAAAATGCAGAATAGAACCAGTGAAGAGCAGAGGTGCCATAGGCACAATCAGAGAACACTGTATAAACATCAGAGGTCCGCGGTTGTTCAACGTCCTCCCAGCAAGCATAAGAAATATTGCCGGAACAACCGTGGACATCTTCAATAGGAAACTAGATTTATTCCTCCTAGGAGTGGCGGACCAACCGGGCTGTGGTGGGTACGTGGGCCTGCGGGCCGCCCCAAGCAACAGCCTAGTGGACCAAACTCTCACAAGTCAAGCCTGGCCTCGGGCCGGGCTTGGGGTGTAGAAGAACTCCCAGAACCCCATCAACCAGGTATCAACCAGGTAGCGTAACAACAGAGAAAAATCTAAACCGAAACCGAGGACCTCCTAGGCCTCGGAGGTCCCAGGCCTCCTTGCCGTCGACCAGGAGGCCTGGTCTCACGACCAGGCCGCGGGGACGCTAAGCCCCGGAAGCACCTCAAGGTAACCTCAAGGTAAGGATTATAACAGCACTAATTAAGAGTGCCCACCCCAATTTACCCTATTCGGCCAAATAGTGAAATAGGCTCAACCAGGTATCAACCAGGCTACACATGCAGATATAAGCGTCCCCGGTGATCCAATAACACACGGACACTTGCAACATGTATCGTGTCACACCAGGCAGGACACAGCCCATGTTGGCAGGCATCCACCACCAGGACACATGCCCGCAGCACCAGTTCAAGCACCAGCACCAGTCCACAACACCAGTTCAAGCACCAGCACCAGTCCACAACACCAGTTCAAGCACCAGCACCAGTCCACAACACCAGTTCAAGCACCAGCACCAGTCCACGACACCAGTTCAAGCACCAGCACCAGTCCACAACACCAGCACCAGCCCACTGCACCAGTTTAAGCACCAGCACCAGCCCACAGCACCAGCACTAGCCCACAGCACCAGCACCAGCCCACATCACCAGTCCACAGCACCAGTTCAAGCACCAGCACCAGTCAAGCACCAGCACCAGTCCACAACACCAGTCAAGCACCAGCCCACAACACCAGTTCAAGCACCAGCACCAGTCCACAACACCAGTTCAAGCACCAGCACCAGTCCACAACACCAGTTCAAGCACCAGCACCAGTCCACAACACCAGTTCAAGCACCAGCACCAGCCCACAACACCAGTTCAAGCACCAGCACCAGCCCACATCACCAGTCCACAGCAGCAGTTCAACCACCAGCACCAGTCCACAGCAGCAGTTCAACCACCAGCACCAGTCCACAGCAGCAGTTCAACCACCAGCACCAGCCCACAGCAGCAGTTCAAGCACCAGCACCAGCCCACATCACCAGTCCACAGCAGCAGTTCAACCACCAGCACCAGTCCACAGCAGCAGTTCAACCACCAGCACCAGTCCACAGCAGCAGTTCAACCACCAGCACCAGCCCACAGCAGCAGTTCAACCACCAGCACCAGCCCACAGCAGCAGTTCAAGCACCAGCACCAGCCCACATCACCAGTCCACAGCACCAGTTCAAGCACCAGCACCAGTCCACAGCAGCAGTTCAACCACCAGCACCAGCCCACAGCAGCAGTTCAACCACCAGCACCAGCCCACAGCAGCAGTTCAACCACCAGCACCAGCCCACAGCAGCAGTTCAACCACCAGCACCAGCCCACAGCAGCAGTTCAACCACCAGCACCAGCCCACAGCAGCAGTTCAACCACCAGCACCAGCCCACAGCAGCAGTTCAACCACCAGCACCAGCCCACAGCAGCAGTTCAACCACCAGCACCAGCCCACAGCAGCAGTTCAACCACCAGCACCAGCCCACAGCAGCAGTTCAACCACCAGCACCAGCCCACAGCAGCAGTTCAACCACCAGCACCAGCCCACAGCAGCAGTTCAACCACCAGCACCAGCCCACAGCAGCAGTTCAACCACCAGCACCAGTCCACAGCAGCAGTTCAACCACCAGCACCAGCCCACAGCAGCAGTTCAACCACCAGCACCAGCCCACAGCAGCAGTTCAACCACCAGCACCAGCCCACAGCAGCAGTTCAACCACCAGCACCAGCCCACAGCAGCAGTTCAACCACCAGCACCAGCCCACAGCAGCAGTTCAACCACCAGCACCAGCCCACAGCAGCAGTTCAACCACCAGCACCAGCCCACAGCAGCAGTTCAACCACCAGCACCAGCCCACAGCAGCAGTTCAACCACCAGCACCAGCCCACAGCAGCAGTTCAACCACCAGCACCAGCCCACAACACCAGTTCAACCGGACGGGTAAACATCATCACCCAGAATAAACAACACCAGCGGCGACGACAGTATTCCCGTGCAACAAGCTGCAACTCAACTAAACATTGATGCATTCGTGCAACGCGGACCGCACAGTGTGTTGATTTAAACACCACATCAAATATACACGGTACACAGATCTAAACTAACAATGTATGGAAATACTGCCCAGAGCGTAACACAGTGTATATGTATCATTTAAACTTGTGTAGACTTATGCAGTAGATTTTCCAATCAAGCTCTATTAATGTTCGAATATATTTATGAAATCAGGACAAAAACTAAATGTGGTGTAGAGTGTCAAAGAAGAGCATCATGAAACTAACGACGAAAATGCAGCAGCAGAAACATCTACGGCAACAATATTAGCCGCAAGAACAGCAACAGCAAGAACATTTACAGCAGTAACAACAGTACCAGCTGGAGCAACAGCAGCATAAGAACATAAGAACAAAAGAACAAGGATAACTGTAGAAGGCCTATTGGCCCATACGAGGCAGCTTCTATTTATAATCACCCAATCCCACTCATGTACATGTCCAACCTACGCTTGAAACAATCGAGGGACCCCACCTCCACCACGTTACGCGGTAATTGGTTTAACAAATTAACAACCCTGTTACCGAACCAGAATTTACCCAAGTCTTTCCTAAATCTAAATTTATCCACTTTATACCCATTGTTTCGTATTCTGTCTTGTGTTGATACTTTTTATACCCTTTTAATATCATCTTTGTTATGGCCATTCATCTACTTGTAAACCTCTATCATGTCACCCATAACTCCTCACATTTCCATTGAATGCAATTTAAGCTTTGTTGATCTGTCTTCATAAGAACATAAGAACAAAGGTAACTGCAGAAGGTCTATTGGCCCATACGAGGCAGCTCCTATCTATAACCACCCAATCCCACTCATATACTTGTCCAACCCGAACTTGAAACAATCGAGGGACCCCACTTCCACCACATTACGCAGTAATTGGTTCCACAAATCAACAACCCTGTTAATTAAGGGTTTGCTATCCGGGAGCTGGAATTGGTGATATTGTTTAAAACATGAATGATATTATGACGGGAAATGGGAACAAACCCATTATTTGCATTAGTGCAGGGGGTAATGATGTTGGGCGAGTTAGGAGTGAGGAACTAATACAGAGATTTAGGACAGCCATTGAATTAGTTAGGAGCAAGGGAGGAATCCCGATCATATGTGGCATTCTTCCAAGAAAGGGAGTGGGAAATGAATGGATGTCGAGGGCACTTGGTGTCAATTGCCGGCTGGAAAGATATTGCAAATCAAATGCAATATCTTTCATAGACAACTGGGAACGCTTCTATGGAAGAAATTAAATGTATGCTCGTGATGGGGTGCATCTATCGAGGGCTGGGGTTGTTGCTGTTGCGAACTCGTTGGAACCAGTGGTTAGAGGTGTTTGTTTGGGTTTAAACTGTTAGTAGATAGTGGTATGGGAATTGATTTGGAGGAAGGAGGTAATAAAAGTATGTGTTCGTGGGAGAAAAGAATTGGCAAAATGATCAGGGAAAGAAAAGGGCCTCAAAATAACATTTCACTTAGGATATATTACACTAACAGTAGATGTGGGACATTTGGGGCTTGACTCTATTTATTTAAGTATTAATGTAATGAAATTCTATTACGAAGGACCACCCGCTTTTATAGTAAAGAGGGAAACTAATAAAATATGATCATTAGAAAATTCCTAGATGAAACCAGTAACTATGGATAAAATACTAGAGAATATGATCACTTATATAATTAATGGGCTGTATAATTTAACTGAATCAAAGCCTCAAACACCTACATTGGGGGGTTATTACTGGAACTTCATATATGTCCAGGAACTAGTGTGGTTCGTGCACCAGTTCATTATTCAATATTATAATCCTATGACCAATTATAGAATCATTGTATTTGTCACCAATAAGAACATAGATTATGAACATGAGAAATTAACAATTATAATAAACACATGTCAATCCAAAAAACAGTGCTCCGCATGAATAATACTACAGATGACTCATCCTCGGAATCTCCTGGACTCATCATGGAACACTGGGAGATGATTAACACGGGAAATGGCAGCTCGGGGAATTCTTCACACACGCTGCAAATCAAATATATTCAGTAGCAACATATTAAGCTGCTAGACATCTATGTTCAAGAAAATTAAATTAGAGAATGGAGACAGATAATAACCTGTGGTTTTTTATAGTCGCTCTGCGTGACGACAAGCTACCCAGCTATAACCCCCTCCAAAATGATGCATCAAATGGGAATAAAGGTACTTAGCTAATAGGGCACTGTGTAAGTTAAGGCTTGCCGAAGTTTGCGTCCTAGGTTCAGGCGTCGTTGTGACGAAAACGTGGTGTCAAGCCTAGCCTAGATGTTGACGCGCTTCTCTGGCCGGTCACGTTGTGCTACATGGAACGAATTAACAGGTTCCTGGCTGAATGTCAAATTAAATCTCTTGACAATTCAACACAACGTTTAAAGTGACACTGACACCAGCTAAGTTGTTAACTGCAAGGTTCTTCACACCTCACAGTGGCGACTTTTGTCTTGCGCTCTTGGTGGCGTCCACCCTGGTGGCTTGGGTAATGGCGTCTCTCTCTCCCCGCTCCGCGTCCCGCATTTGATGCACAAATTATTTACTACGAATAATATCATCTCTCGCAGTTGTGATTGAAATGCTTGGATAAGGACGGGTTTATTATTCAGAGGAGTTAAATATTATTATTCACCCGTTTTACGATGGTAAACAAGCAATGGAGAGGAATTAAAGTCTCTCCAGGGCATTCACGCGTGACGTTAAATTTATTACCAGATAACAGTTATAACTATAAACGCTCTATTTGGCATTAGTTGGGGATCAGTTTATCTGTAAATAATTATCACACAGAACACCGTTGTTTTATAGAGAATCAAACTCAATTCTCAGACACACTGGATATAGTTGTGTTTATTATAATGGAATCTGATGCAATACTGGCGTCTGGTGACGTAAGAATTCTAGCCTTATTGTACAAATGTAATTATTAGTACATATGAACTCTACGTTTGGTTAATTTTAATTACTACAGTGATTAGTAGATTTAGTAATAATTAATAATAATACAACAGTGTTGTATTAGTGTTGGAAATTTCAAACAGTAGAAGACTAAGAAATAAAATTAATGAATTAAATGCTCTTGTCTGCACAGAAAAAATAGATATTATTGCACTTACCGAAACGTGGATGAACGTAGAAAATAGAGAACTATTAGCTGAATATCAGATAAATGGATTTAAACTATTTCACACAGATATATTAGACGAGGAGGGGGAGTAGCCATATATGTTAGGGACAATTTGAAATGTAGTCTCAAAGAGGGAATCAAAACTGAGCCCCACACAGAAACTATTTGGATAGAATTAAACGAAAAAGCAAATAATATTATAATAGGAGTTATATATAGGCCACCAAATTTAGACAGAATGGAAGCAAAGCATCTATGGAATGAAATATCTAGAGCATCTAGATCTAACAGTATTTATGTCATGGGTGACTTTAATTTTAGTGGAATAAACTGGGTGAACAAAACAGGGAATAGTGAAGCAGAAGATTTTCTAGAATTAATTGACGATTGCTTTCTTACGCAACACATTAAGGAACCAACGCGGGAAAATAATATTTTAGATTTAGTGTTAACTAACAGGGAAACACAAATTAATGACATCGAAATAGGGAGTGAGCTAGGGAACAGTGATCACAAAGTAATCAGATTTAGCATAGAATGGAATAGACCTGTAGGAGAAAATTCTGTTAAAGTGCCAGATTTTCGAAAAGCTGATTTTAATAGCCTAAGAAATTTTTTGGGTCAAATAGATTGGAAACTCTTGGGTATGGGGTGTGGGCCGGTCTTAGAGCGAGACATGAACCCAGCGATAGGTGACGTAAAAGGGGATTTCGATGTGGATTTAATATAAAACTTATTTAAGAATATTCTAAACAAAGCACAGGAATGTAGTATACCATACAAATTGAATAGGTCGAATACTAATGACCCAAAGTGGATAACTAATAATTTAAAGAACCTTATAGGTAAAAAGAGAGAAATTTAGGAAAGATTTTCCTAAATCTAAATATATCCAATTTATACTCATTGTTTCGTGTTCTGTCATGTGTTGATACTTTTAATACCCTATTAATATCTCCTTTGTTATATCCATTCATCCACTTGTAAACCTCTATCATGTCACCCCTAACTCTTCGCCTTTCCAGTGAATGCAATTTAAGCTTTGTTAATCTTTCTTCATATGAAAGATTTCTAATTTGGGGAATTAACTTAGTCATCCTACGCTGGACACGTTCAAGTGAATTTATATCCATTCTATAGTACGTCGACCAAACTGAACTGTATATTCTAAATGGGGCCTAACCAGAGCAAGAAATAGCTGAAGAACCACACCAGGTGTCTTGTTACTAACACTTCGATTAATAAATCCCAGTGTCCTATTTGCCTTATTACGAACATTCATGCATTGATCCTTTTGTTTTAAATTCTTACTAATCATAACTTACTAATCAGTTGCCTTTGTTCTTATGTTCTTATTTGACAGGGTTCTAATTTTGGGAATTAACTTTGTCATCCTTCGCTGGACACGGACACGTTCAAGTGAATTTATATCCCTTCTATAGTACGGCGACGAAAACTGAACTGCATAATCTAAATGGGGCCTAACCAGAGCAAGATATAGCTGACGAACAACACCAGGTGTCTTGTTACTAATGCTTCTATTAAAAAGTCCCACTGTCCTATTTGCCTTATTACGAACATTCATTCATTGATCCTTTGGTTTTAAATTCTTACTAATCATAACTCCCAGATCCTTTCGCAATAAAGTAACAAAACAACAGAAGCAACAGCAACAACAACATCATTTGCAGCTATAGCAGCAACCTTGCCAGCAGCGACAACAACAACA